AGAATGGTCACGGTATAATATGACATTTCAAGTTTTCTGTGATATGCATTTGGATGTTAACTTAAGAGTCTGACATATAATTAAATATATACGTTTATGGGATTGTTATTTAAAAAATATTCTTAAATAAATCCTCGCTTATGGGTCTAATTGGTATTCACCATTGTCGTAGTTCCTTACGACATTGACGGTTTACGATTCAAATTTTAAAAGTTGTGAACACGTATGTAGTATAAAAAGTATTTCCTCATTTAATAGAATTGTAGGGGTTCGTCTGCAATTTTTCTAAAGACCTTTTAAATAAGGACATAAAACCCTTCAAAAAATACAATAACTATTATTAGTGGTATTTTTAAATTTCACATTAGGATGTATAACATATTTGTAATTTAAAATTAATTTAAACTTTTTAAAATTATTTAACACTTCACAAAACTTGATTCTTTCAGTATTATCCATTATATCAATCATGTACTTTCAATGTATTTTCTCATACTTTAATTTTAACGAGATTCCAATTTAAAGTTCGTTGATAAAATTTAAGCACGTGTAATATACTGCGATATATGTCAACATTTATAACACTTCCCACTTTCATGAAAGAAGGGCTTGTATTATAAGAAAATTGTTTCTTAAAAAAACAAATCTTCAATTTTTGCGGAAATAACTATATTTTCAATGTTTTGAAGTTTGAAAATAAAAAAAATTGATAAAGTAAATAAATAATATATTAGACATTATTTTGGGGTTCATTGCATTAAATCACATCATTTGGTGACTTTGTGAAGATTCAATAACGTCACGAATTTCAGCATCGTACGTTTTACATTTTTTTGTTGTATACTATTCATGCACCAACATTTCAATATTGTTTATATTCTTGAATAGTTAAAAAAATCGTGTTTTGATAAATTATAAAGAATTGCCATTTCTGAGTCATTTTTAACAAAACACAAACTTTAAATTTACAAAACAAACATTGAAAGGTACATTGGCATAAAAATGATATTTATAAATATAAGAATTGAATCAACACATTAATGAATGACTTGGTGTATTTGACAGTTACCAGATGTTTGAATGGTGTCCGCATTAATATGTAAATATGTATGTGTGTACATATTTTATTCAGATCGATGCGATGGTGTAAAACAAGTTGGTGATACCGGATGTAAAATGCGTTTGTTTGATATTTCGCATGGTTGCTAAGTATTGGATATTTTAGAAGGTATATATTAGGGTGAATTGTATAAAACATAATATTTCTGCCTTCAAAAGGCAGCATATAATTCACACATAATAATGTTGATCTCAAATGAATTTTACCAAAAGTATGCCCCGTTTCACAAATTATGTTTGTCATGAATCCATATAATTTCAGGCCACCCTATTGTGTAATTCATTGCGAACATGTGTAATTGCTATCATAAATATTTTACATATTTGTAACGTTCTTTCAAACAGGTTTTACTTTCTATAAATTTCGTTCAGTAAGAAATGTTGTCTTCAGTAAATGAGCGTAATGAACAAATTTACTTAAAGAACAACAAATTAATCAATATAAGCTAATAACTATGTTTTAAATTCTTAGATTATATATATATATATATACTTTCTAAATTAGAACGGAACAGACAATTATTTATTTATTGGTAACTAATAATATTTATAAAAACGCCAACTTACTCGGCTGAATATTGGAAATACATGAATTTAAAGTTTTTAATAAAATAAATTATAATCACGGTCACAGAATTTGTACATTCTTGTATAATAATTTAACAGTTATATTGATATTTATTTAACAGTTATATTTTGAATAACAAAAAATAACCCTTAGTCGGGAGGTGGAAAATACTGTCCGTTATAAAAGTAATTGGCGAGTATGAGAGTTGCTATATATATGTATATACACAGATAGAGACATCCTTGGTAATGTTTTACATTCGTCTCGTAAAATAGAATGTGATCTCGTTAGATATCTTACAATTTGCCAATTCCTGAAAAAGATTCTTTTCTATTGGTCTTAACAAGACGTTTATAAGATCAGAGGTGACGAATAATGGATCAATGAATAAAATCGTTTATTCCAGATTAAATGAAAATTACACTTCGGAAGAATAAATTTCCCGATTATTAACACTATGCATTTCTTATTGGTTTGGCTGAAATGTTTACCATAATTTCATATCGTTAGACCGAAAATTTTTACTACCCACAGCCCTCGCAAAACAGTGTACATTTTTTAGTATTTGCTTGTATTTGACTTTTATAAAACATTTGTGAAATTTGCCACAACGGAAGTTAGTATATATTTAATGTGACAATCAAAAGTTTGCCAAATATTCTTACTTTATTAAATATATATTCTTACTTTTTCCACTTCTCCTTTCTCATGAAGATACTGTACACAAATGGTTTCCCATGTATTACCAACATTTATTCTACAATGCAATATTAAACATTAGAAGTTAGTTTTATCAAATTGAAAAGTTTTGAAATCAAAAATTTCATTAGTTTTTAAGATAAATAAACTTCAAGTTGTAACCAATTTACTTGGAATCATTTTTGTGTTTTTTTTTTCAAAGAGCATATAGAAGTAAATAAAATGATAACGACGAATAGATAAATATTTATTTATATGTAACATTCCTTTGCTATATTAACTGTAAAATATACACATCAAATAGCAATTGTGGCATCTTCAATAGGAAATAAGTACTTTTTGTTTTAAAAGTTTCGGACAAACAAAAAATAGTAATAAAAATCTATTGTTTCGGTTTTTCTAAATTACATATGTCGATTGCAACGTATGTTCTCAGTTACTAAACAATTGATGAGTAAATGTTGGTTCTCCATATTTGCATTTTTTATATATTAGTAATTACCAATGCAACCCCACAAAAACATTCTCAATATTTCCCTCAAAACATAAGCTTCAGCAATAAAATATTACTTTTGCTAAAATATTAATTATTTGCTGTAATTTTATCTGTATGGGTTTTCCCTTTCAAATATATTTTAAATCCAATTTTCTTTGGCAGTGACGTCAAGAAACAACACTCCCCTTTTTGTATTTATATCCGTCCGCAGATTTATAATTCGGCATTGTTAAGATGATTTGACTTAATGAATATTGTGTTTTTTATTTAATCACAGATAATAAATGCACACAAATATACACACATGTACTTAATTCTTGTATTAAAGGGAAATCAATGAACGGTAGTGAGGTACTGATATTTTACAAAGAGGGTGGTTACGAGAATTTACATAATCGTATTATTTAAATTAGGGTGTATTTCAGTTATGAAAGAAGTACAAAGGAATTGAATAATAATTAATGTTGTTTCTTTTTTTAATTTATAAATTACATATTGATTCATTAAATGAAATTATATTCATAAACCAAAATTTGACTTATTAACCTAATTATTAATTATTCCAGCAAATATTCATATTAATATATTTTATATAAAGAAATCATTAAATATTTTGATTGAATTATTTGGTTAAATAATTGTTGCAATATGTATAATCCTGGAGAACAATTAAACTAAGATCATATTTACAGTTTTCAATATTTCTCTACATATAGAATATAAACAAAGTCCCATCTACAATTAAAGGCATGGAGGGCCTTCTACAATTCATAGGTATTACATTGGCCTCCTATAGATAACTATTACATTTCTTTTACAAAAACAAGACCTCTTATGTATTATATTAACAAGACCTCTTATGTTAATATAATACCTTATCTAGATACATAATGTTCGCTGTGGGTCATTAGTTTTTACTGTATACGTATTATATATACAAAACAAATATATCCCATGTATAGAAACAATATAAAACCCCTCCCTACTTTTTAACAATAATTTATTTTTTTAATGTATAAATTCTAATTTATACATTTTATTTGCAGATGACTTCAGTAAATAATTGATAAATATAAATTGCAAACGAAAGTTGTTAAAGACAAAAGTTGTTACTTTAAGTTCCATCATATATATATATATAGCTCGTCAGTAAATTGAGGTAATTCGTTTACGTATCAGATTTAAGAAAAGGTCAATATAAAAATAAATGTTTTATTTTTCAAAGGTATTTGAACTTAACGGCCATGGCCAATGTAAAACGTGTATAACGGTCATCACAGCAATGATCAACAACAAAAATAGAAATTAAACATTAAATGCAATCTTATATTTATCTTAATTATTTATTAACCGTTCTTTTTCAAGTCAAACCAAGTCCAACAAATAAACAAAAAAAAACTTGGCAGGTTAATTTCTTTGGAGAATGCCGAGTTGCCGTGTCCATAAATTGATAGTTGTTTTAGTTTTTTATGTGATTTTAAAATTTTCAAAATTAAACTAAATATTGAGCTGTAATCTAGAAATAATTATGTATGACTAACCGGTTATTTCTTGAATTAACTCGTTGTACTGCTAAGCAAGAAACAAATCAACAATATATTTGGTTTAAAGTAAATGTTCTTAACAATGCCTCGGCATGTCTTGGAAATGCATCATTGATCGTGTGCGAATGTGGCAGGCGGCGGACGCTTTTCGTGTGCTTCGGCTCTAAATCCAAACCAAATATCTTGAAACACGAAGAAAAACTATAAAACCGTTCGTCGGACAGGCATACAATTCAGTCTAATGTGCTTTCGAACGGTGTTAAGAGCCAGAACCGCAGCTCTTAATGTGTTAGTGCGCGCGTGTGTGTATGAGTGTCACGTACTTAAATAGAAGTCAGTGTTTGTGCTAAGATTTTCTTTAACGAATATTCGAATGAATATTTAAACTTAAAATAAACCGCAATTACAAAACATAAAACCATAAATTAAAGTGGAAACTAACTAAACAAAAAAAATATAGAAAAACACACAACAACAAATAGTTAATTAACATTGCAATTATCATTGTCACTTCTTACATAGACACACAGAAGAAAAAAATTAACTTAAATATTGTACAAAAATAAAGAAAAACAAATCAAAACATGACTGTTAACAATAATCAGGGTCGTCGCCCATCGGCGAATGATGATACGAACGGTTTCGTCAATGTTGCATTTACACACGACGAACGAGCGACAGAAAATGTGATTCGTCGTAAGAGTGGCAATTCGAATTCCTTGCAATTGGATAATGGCACATCGATGTCAACAAATACGGTTCCCGTGTCAAGTGGTAATGGTACTGCTCCTCCCATTGATTTCGACGATATTTTACCAATGATCGGTGAATTTGGTAAATATCAGAAAATTCTCTTCATCTGCATGATACCTTTTGCCTTCTTTGTGGCCTTTATATATTTTTCGCAAATATTTTTAACTTTAATACCGGAACAACATTGGTGCACTGTACCGGAATTGGAGGGTTTACCATTGGAAGAAAGGTAAATATAAAAAAAATCAATTACATAGTGTGTGTGTGTTTTATTCTAATTTAAATACACATTAAAAACAACAACGTTATAGATGTATGTGTGTGTGAGAAATAAAAAAATCCATTAGAATGCCTGATAATGCTTTAACACAAGAAAACAATTTAATTTTGACAACCATTATTGAAATCGAAAATAAAAAAATGAAAGGACCATTGAATAAGAACTTGAAACAATAGCTTGGCAAGTGAATGTGTTTTTAATTGATTGGACTGTAAGAAGGAAGGAAATGAATATTGAAATTAATGAAATATTGCAGTTCCTATATAAAAATAAATATATCTCAAATATTAAAAAGTATGTATATGATTGTTGAATTATTTGACATGGTTCCGTACTCAAAAAACTGATTGCGAATAATTGAAGATTTCTCCAAAACATAAACTAAGTAAAATATTATGGTATTAATACAATTTTTTTTTTAATTTTTATTATGTTTTATTAATAAAAAAAATATTATTGTGTTCATTTAGATTGATGAATTTTTTTTTTATTTTTGCTCTATTCCAATTAAATGGTAATTCAATTTACTTGTAATGTGATTTAATTTCATTATAGCAATTACTATGTACAATTCAATCAATCGTTTATTAGATCAATGTATGTTATTGGGTTGTTTTATAGCAACAATTAATGGAAAAAATACATTTTCAATATTATGACTGACACTACTAACTATAAATTGTATGAGCAGTCATAAAAAATACGAAAAATTATGAAAAACTTTAATTATATGTTTCAAAATTGTCTATACCAACACATATAACCTATGTCATGAACTTATATCAATAATTATACGTTTACTATCTATTATAATTATTATTGATTCGTGAAGATTCAACATGAAATATTCAATTAAACAAACAATTATTTGCAACTACATACATCATTTGTATATAATTCGTAATTCTAGAGAATATAAAATATTAGATTGGATGGCTCTATAATTTGTTTTTGTTAGTCCGGACCTCTAAAACTCATATTTTTTCAGGAACACAATAATCGTAGTAGATCCGTACTAAATTATATTATTCCACTAAAGTTTGAGTTGCCCTCGTACTTTTTCAGATGTTATCATATTACTTTAAAACATGTTTCATTTGTAGCTATCTTAACGAACAACAACATTGATGCAATAAAAATTACGATCACTTGTGCAGTAATATCGCATTTTTAAGATAAATTTAGAAATTTTCTTCACAAAGGGAAACTGCATCATATACTGATAAATTAAAATTGACATATATCGAATAAAAATAAAACTTATTTTAAGGTTATTGACATGTCATAAATTGTCATTAATAAACAACAATTGTTATTCCGCTCTCATTTTTATTACTTACTACCCTCTAATTTTAATTGCAACTTTGTAATGGGTGACATTATCGAAGATATTTTTATCGCAATATTTTAAAGATTCATTAAAAGCAGATTTAGTAGCTCCTTCATTCATCTAATGCACATGTCCTTGCTCAGGAGCATTTAATGAATGAAGGAGCGACTAACTCCTAGGACTACAATCTCGTACAAAGGAAACTACATTAAGCTATAATCTATGAATGGTTCAAACAGAACGTTTCAGAATTTAACTTTACACAAATGTTCCAGGTTTTCATCACTCATAATGTGACAAACTTATTTTCAGCAAATGTTGTAGATAGGCGCTATTTTTGACATTGCATCCATTTAGTGGTCACACCTTAATGGAGGGTATATTAAAACAGATTCCTAATCCTTTGTGGACCAATGTTGCCCACAGACACACATATGTCAAGACCTGATTATGGATTTAAATTTTTGGTCGGGTTATGCGCTTTTCAAAATAAATAAATGCAAAAATGTGTAGTGAACCATATTGCGTATACGAATTGTACGAAGTGTATCCTCAAATGTTTTTTTTTTTCATTCTTGTAAAAATTAAGTTTCAGTGCTTTTTTCGCCGATATTCCATTTGCTTTTTTTGATATTGCACTTTTATTTCTCGAAAAGAATGTACTGAATCCCCGGAACGCATGGATGTAGCGAAGTCAAATTTAGTGCATATTCTATTTATGATAGTTGCATTCAATCGGCGCACAGAAAATCGATCTATGATCGCGGAAATAAGCGGCGCACAAAGGGTAATTGGCTTATCTTTGGCAAGAACAATGGTTTGAGCCACTAAAAATGTTTATGAAATGTAAAATTGGTTTTAGAAAATGCTTTCTATTTATTTCCACGTTCTGCTGCACTTATAAAAAATGTAGGCCAAGGGTTTGTATATGTAAATCATAGCGCCCATGACATAATTAGACAAGGTAATAATACTTTTTCATAATTTTACTTTAACATTCAGCTTCTAAAATTTAAATCGGCGCAGTTCTCTGTCTCTATACCTATAGATGGGTTACAAATTAGATGGGACTACCTTCCATAATTATGCCATCTCAGTTCCCATAAAAATTCGAAAAAAAATAATAACTCATTTGACATGGGGGAAGCTTTTATTTATTAAATTATTTTCAGTTTCTCTCACGATTAAAAATACAAAAACTAGTCACACGTTTACACATACGTAGCCACTCATTATTAAATGAAAACGAAACCTAGACACATTAATATACTAACAAATAGGCACAATAAACTACCTGTTGTTAATTTTACAAATAAGAATTTTGTATTTTTAATGGCTATGTATGAGCACTTCTCTTCTATTGTTTTTTGTTGTATTTATGACGGTTTCTGCAGTGTTTTTAGTTTAACGTTATTTTTTCGAAAATGAATGTTTGTGTAATGGATGACCTTGATTAATGGCCAAAAGAAATACATACCCACAAATTGCTATTGTTTAAATCGTGGCTAGATTTTAATTTAATTTGGAGAAGAAGAACAAAAGATTTGTGATTATCCATGTTAACAATATTGTATTGTTTAAAATAAGATAATTGCCTTGTTATATGATACGATTAGAATTGCAGATGAATTATTACTGTTGTCAGTGTAACAAAGAACAGAAACACTGTTTGAAGTTACACTTGACCTTTTTTGTTATCTGTCAATAGAAATTTATTTTAAAAAAATGTTTATTTTTTTTTTTAAATAAATTTCTAAATTGTTCATTGTATTTATTAAAAGTATTTAGAATTCTCTTGGTTATAATACAATATCTCAATATTGTTGCTAATCTAAAAATGTTAACAACCTTGAATTAATTTTTCAATTATCTATTCATAACCTCCACCTATATTTTTTTGTGTCCCACCTAAGAACAATAATGGTATATATCTCTCATTCTTGTAAAATTCTACAACTTGTCCGTTATGCTTCATCTACAGATGGCGGCAAAGAACACGCGAATACCGAATGCCTGCAGTTTCTGCAGTGACACTTGAAATGTTTATAGGCGATTATAATTTATAGTTGCTTAATTAAGGCACAAGCAAACAAAAAAATGAAACAAAACTACATTAAATCAATGTTTTAGATTTAACCAGTATTAGCCGTGTAATAAGACATTTTCAAATGCCGTCAACAGTGGCAAGCAGTTATTGTCTGTAAATAGTTAGCCTCCATTGACAACAGCAAGACCTTGCCAAGAAATTTGTTTGACAGAGAACTTCAGACCGTAATGCGAATGTGTCGGCACACATAAATGTAGAAAAACAGAGTTTAGTAGAGATACTAGAAACCGATAATATTTTTAAACAGCAAAACAAGATTTTTAGTTATTTATTTATTGCAACAAAAAATTAAATATAATTTTCATTCATAGTAAGTAGTCAGAAATCATATGGAAAAAAGTAGATGCAATTTTGAAATTTGCTCTTCATTTAAAACATTAACAACACGATTTTAAAAGATTTTTAAACTCGAAAAACTTTTTAAGAGGTCTAAGTTAATCATTAAATCGTCTATGGGTAGAATATCATTTGAATGGTCTTCTTTAATTAAAAATCCCTCAGACAGGTTCGACATAGAATAATAAATCTTGTTCGATATTTATTTCCGTTTATAGGTAATCAAAATTGGAGTATTTTTAATATCTTAGGTAGAGATGCAAATGAGATGCAAATGATTTTACTGAATAAATTGACAGGCATAATATACATCTCAGCAGTGTGGTGTAGGATATAAAAACATCAAAGATCTTTATCACGTACATAATATTCCGAGAGATCTCGTATAGACAGAAATCCGCCTGAAATCGTTACTTTGGAAACAATATCATTTGAGGGGAACTTTCATTGATGCTGTGTGTTTTTCTTCGGATAACAAATTAATCTTAAGTCTTTATAAAATACTCTTGTTCAAGATAAAACTCTTATTGCAAAACTATGTTTATCATTATAACAACTTGTTCAAAAACCTATTATCCGGGTTTAAAACAAAATAAATTTGTTTAACAAAACCACACAAAAAATAAATGTTTTAAACATTAATTTTACAACTCTAATTCTATCAAAGATTATTTATTGTCTTAACAAAACAAAAACGATGCTGGACGATGTGGACAGACATGAGGGTAAGGTGCAAAAATTTATAGATTATTGAATGAATGAATGAACAAGTTGAATGTAGATTGCTGGTGATTGTTTCAAAACGTTTCTACACACACATACATACCATGTACTGAAACTACAATAAAATAATATACATACAGAATGTTATAAAACAAAACTCTTTTATATCAAGGACATGTTATTGACCGAAGCTAATTAGTTTTGAGAAATCTAATCATTCAAATGTGAAGTTGTACATTATCTAAGCAATGAACAATATTTATACGTATGTATGTATATGTATCTAAAAATATATGTACACTTTGCATTGGGTGGCAAATTATAATTGAAATAATTATTCGAATAAAAAAACATTCTTGGTGTGTTTTAATAGAATTTTGAATTTATGGGAACTACAATGGCATTTCCTGTTCGTAAAGAACATGCAAACACATGTACTTATATGACATTATTAAGAAACTAATATGTAAATATGATTATTATTATGCATACAATTTTAATAAATATTTGAATAATTTTAATAAATATTATTTTTTTTTATATTTGTATTCCCACAGACTTGCTCTTTCTATACCCCGAATGGACAATGGCGATTATCATAATTGTTTAATGTTTAATGTCAACTATACGGATCTTGTGGCTCAGGGTATACGCAAAGCTGACCCCACATGGCCCACTGTGGCCTGTATGCATGGTTGGTCATATAATTTCACAGAAATTCCCTATACAACAGTGGCAACGGAAGAAAATTGGGTGTGTGAAGATGACACATTGCCCACGTATGCTCAGTCAATATTTTTCCTTGGTGCCATTGTAGGAGGTCTTCTGTTCGGTTGGATTGCTGATAAATTTGGACGAATTCCATCATTGATTGGCTGTAATCTGGTTGGATTTGCAGCAGGTGTAGCCACAGCCTTTATTTCGAATTTTTGGCAATTTGCCGTTATGCGTTTCTTTGTGGGATTTGCTTTTGACAATTGTTTTACCATGATGTATATATTGGGTAAGAATAATAATATTTTAAAATGTTATAGTTGATATGAATTTAACATTGATATTATTTTGAATTGCAATAAAAAATTTAGATTTAGATGTGTAAGTTTCATTCTCTTTTGCAGTAATACTGAGAAATATAAACAGACAACATCCAGTAAGATTTTGCATAGTAAATGCAGTAAGATTTTGCATAGTAAATTTCTTGAGAACAATTTTGTTATTTTTTTGTAAAACAGCTGGTTAAATATAAGAAAATTCTTACTGAGTAAATTTTCCTTGTAAAAATTTGCAAATACTCAGTAACACAACTGTCAAATCTGCTCTCTCAATTAACTCTCTTTTACTGGACTTTGGGTAAACGAACAACATTATGTAATCAATTGACAATTGTACAAATTATTGAGTAAACGAACGAACCTAATGTTGTTACCAAATATCGAGTGATTTTCATATGTTTGGAGTAAAATATAAAAATATAGAGTTACAGCTTGTTTTTGTAAAATTCCAAAAGAACCAATTCGAGTGACTTACGACCAAACCTTTATTTATGTTTATAAAGGTTTTCTGATTCAAAACAAAAATTAATGACATATTTTTCAAAACCAAGGAGTTTGGTTGTAAGTCACTCGAATTTGTTCGTTTGGAATTTTACAAAAACAGGCTGTTAATCTGCTTAAGAATATAAAAAGTAATCCCCTTACAGGCAAAACTTAAATAAACAAAAAGTTGGCATATTTTCATGTAGCAGTACTTATTCTGCATTTACGTTCTCTTTTAATAGTTATTTATTTCATATCCAAATTGCACAATCAAATCATCTAGTAATAAATTAGGAAACATTTATTTATTTTCTCCTTTCACAATTATTAACTTCATAGAGTCAGAGGGGAAATATTAATAATATAATATAAATATTGATAATCTAATACAAATATTAATAATATAATACAATTTAAAAATAATGTATTTGCATAATGTTAAAATCCCTTGAAATGTCAAAAACACTAAAACTACGTTCATATCAGTTCTTTGTTTTCAAATAATACTATTATTTTACTATCTTATATTATACAATTTCTTATAGTTTTGGAATATGTGGGACCCCGTTACCGCACCTTTGTTGCTAATATGTCCATAGCTATATTCTTTACAATGGCTGCGTGTATGTTACCCTGGATTGCCTACTATTTGGCAAATTGGAGAATTTTGGCTGTTGTTACTTCAGCGCCTCTCTTACTAGCTGTATTCACACCCTTGGTGGTACCCGAGTCAGCAAGGTTCGTATTTCATTTTATTGCAGTTAATTTCCAAATTGTTTAAATATTTTTTTATTTCCTTTCAGATGGCTGGTTTCCCAGGGCAAAGTGGACAAGGCTGTTTCCATTCTAAAGAAATTGGAAAAAGTTAATGGAAAACACATTTCCCCGGAGACATATCAAAATTTCACCGATAGTTGTTTGAAACTACGTCAAGAGGAGACCACAAATCAATCACATTCCATCATGGATTTATTTAGGACTCCACGTTTGAGACGTACTACCATTTTGCTGATTATCATTTGGATGGCCATTTCATTGGTGTTTGATGGTCATGTGCGTAATGTTGGCTCCCTAGGACTGGATATATTTTTCACATTTACCGTCGCCAGTTTTACTGAATTCCCAGCTGATACCTTACTAACTCTTACATTGGATCGCTTTGGCCGTCGATGGTTGGCATGCGGAAGTATGGTGTTGAGTGGTATTTTCAGTCTCCTGGCAACCATTGCACCAGTTGGTGTTTATTCTGCCAGTTTGGCCATTGTTGGACGTTTCTTTATAAATATATCCTATAATATTGGTCTACAATATGCTGCTGAAATCTTGCCCACTGTGGTAAGAGCTCAGGGAGTTGCATTTATACACATAATGGGCTATGTGGCATCGATAATTGCTCCATTCGTTGTCTACCTCACATATATTTCACCCATGCTGCCCCTGATAATATTGGGTATATTAGGCATTGTTGGCGGCCTTTTGTCACTACTGCTACCAGAAACCTTAGATCATGATCTACCTCAAACCTTGAGTGATGGTGAAGAATTTGGACGTGGCCAAAGTATATGGGATTTCCCTTGTTTGGCAAAGAAAATCGACGAATCAAATGATCTTGAAGTAAGAAGTCCACATTTTGTGCGTTCATCGCAAAGTGGCGCTTCACTGCGAGCTTCAACCGGAGGTGAATTGAGATCCAGTATATTACAGCGATCCGTAAGATCTCGTTATACATCAAAATTGTAAAGAGAGCCAAAAACAATTGTGAATAGGAATTAATTAATAACAACATTCCCCACATAACGAAGCAAGGTTATGGTTTACGATAGCCAATAAACATAAATACTAATTGAACCCACATTCAAACAAGCATGTGGAGTAACTTGAAACACCTGGCGACAATAGGAAGCTTTCGATGGACAGAAGTGAATAAAAATGCATTGTGGCGACTAATTGCATTTCTACAATAAATGTTAACACAAATCGCCACACGCATTGTCAGTAAGCTTTTAAGCGTTTTACTCGTCAACATTATTGATCTAATAGTTGTTGTAATAGCAAATAGAATAGAAAGTAAGCTTATATTATAATTATCATCATTAAGGGGCTAGAAATGTTATAATGACATTATGAGCTATATTCCTTTAATAATGACAAATATGAAATGCGAAACAGTGCATGGCATTATTATTGAAATTTAGTTTTAAGCTGGGAATTATAATAATCTCATGAATAATTATTAAACCAGAAGCGGCGGCATCAATAAATGCAATTCGATTTTATTAGATAGATATATCCCTTAAAGCATTTAAAAGTGGCATTTGTAGTACCACTGTATTTGCACTTTAATATAATTTTTATATTTTATATTTTGTCGATCTTTATTAATTGTACCTGTCCCATCTATCGTTTATATCGATTGATATAAATTCCATAGATGAATGGAATGACCATTGAGCTAAACACAATTACATCTCTGGTAAACTCTGTACAATTGTGATATTAGTATTATTTTATATATTTTATTACATTTAGTTGTAAGTATTGATACTCGAAATATATTAATTACTCGCAAAAACTAAAAATAAATGATATATTTTAAGAAAATAAACGAAATTATATTTCAAGTTTGGATACATATATTAGCGTTTTTATAAAATTATGTTTTGTTTGGCCCCAATAATTTGTAACACCATGAAATATTGGTCATAGACCCACATTTTTGCTAGCTGGGTCGATCCAGACATGTGTGTCCGTCCGCCTGTCCACTTATAATTTGTAAACATAGTACAGGCCACAGTAATGAACCAATCGTCACGAAATTTTGCATGTAAATCCGTTTTGGGTCAATGAATAATCACATTGCTTAATTTTAATGAGATGAAATGGATCAACAACTTAATTTTTGTCGCTCTAGAGGCCACAATAAACTTTTCACGGAGAATGGGATCTGATCAAGGTACAAGTACGGATCTTTTCATGATAATCGAGCTATTTTTAATTTATATGGCTTATATATTTACTTCTGAAGACCATAGACCGGAGAAGATGGCATTATATCCAAGAAGAGTGCTTGAGTTATACTTAAATTTGTACAGAACCTTTTCTGATCGCTTTGAAATTGTACTAGTTCCTGTTATGATCATGGACGACGCCTTGGGGCCACAAATGGTGCGAGGGGAAGGGGATCTAGCCAACTAACTACAATGGTTGTTTTGATAATGATCGGTCAATATTTAGGGGGTCAAATGTTTTCCAACACCTGCATGTCTGAAATTTGGGACATTATTTTTTCATACGTAGTCCCCATATAAAAATTTCAACCGATTTAAGGAATTTGGAATGCCCACAACGGGGTGGATTTTTTTACGCATGTACATATTTCAGATAATTTTTTTATCTACGTTGATACATTTTTATTCAAATTATCATAATGATTTTCATATACACTGGATATTTCTTATGATTCTTATGAAATTGAAATTTTTTGAAACTGCCTATGTAAATAAAATATAGCATGAATAAATATACGACTGAAAAACAAATTTTAAATTAAAAAAACAAATCACCCACTCACATTTCGACAAACTAGTGCCGAACTGAATCTATTCCGCTACAGTTTAAAATGTATTCGGCCGACATTATTCAAATGTTTATTTAAAATTAAAACATCTTTCTTATCTTAAACAATATTTTTTTTGTATATGCTGGGATTTGCGTGTGATGACAATCGAAAACGATCTACAAATAAGTTGGAAATGTGTGAAGGACCTCCTATATCGATGATTATATCATTTGGAATTATCCTGTTCTCTCAATCATAAAATTCTACAAGGATGAATAGCAATACAATAGAAACCAAATAAATCGGCTATGTTTTTATGAAAAGAATTTATTAAAATTAAGGCTTTATGTGATTTTTTAAAATTATGTAATATTCCAAAGAATATTTAATAAAAATGAAATAGACGAATTTACAAAAAAATATATTGTTTGTTTTTTTTTACGGATTCAAAAATGGTAAGTATACATGCCCCTAGGTGTGCGACACATATATATGTGATGACATCATAATTTTTCTTTCACCTGGTTTTGTGCATTTTTGACAAATTTCACAAAAATACCAGGCGCCCAGAATAAAATAGAAAGTGGCCCGCCAAAAAAAAAATAGAAAAATTTGCATCTGGCAACACCGTACTAATAAATTACAAAATTTATAGTATACTTTTAGGCGCTCGGTTTTTTTGTGTAGGGTGTTGCCAAACCAAATTTTTATTTTTCAGCGGGCAACTTGCTATTCTGGGCGCCTGGTATTTTTGTAATTTTTTAACAAAAATGCACACAACATTTTCGATTTTCTTTAATTCATTGAGAGATAGACCCTCTATGCGTGCGACATATATCTATGTGATGACGTCACAATTTTTCTTTCACCTGGTTTTGTGAATTTTTGGGCAAATTTCACAAAAATACCAGGCGCCCAGAATAAAATAGAAAGTAGCCCGCCAAAAGAAATTAGAAAAGAATTACATCTGGCAACACCGTACTAAAAAATTGCCTAATGTATAGCATACTTTTAGGCGCTCGAATTTTTTTCGTGGTAGAATGTTGCCAAACCAAATTTTTTCAAATATTTTAGCTGACAACTTGCTATTTTACTTGCTATTCTGGGCGCCTGGTATTTTTGTACATTTCGATTTTTTTTAATTCGTTGTATGAACAGCTAATATGGCTAATATGGAGAACCTCACTTACATGTTTTAATATGTCCATAAATAAATAAAAAACATTTTTCGTATTTGTTTTAAAAATTGTTTATTTGTTCATTTTTTATTTCTTTTATTTACAATGAATTAAGTACATAAAGGAAAAACGAACTACATGCTATATTTACTTATTGGTATTTTTAATACAATAATAATTTTCAGGAAAAAATTATGAATTAATTCAGACATAAAGTTGGAGTGGCTATTTTCTTTTGGAAATTGCTCAAACATACCAGGCATTCAGAACATTTAGTAAAAAAAGTTGGTAATTGGCAAACTGCGGGCTTTCAGCTCCATAACCAGAATTGAAATTAGGAGCAAAATGTTGGAACTCATATCAGGAAATATATTTAAAAAATCCAACATAACTGCTTTTGTAGTCCTTGAGGAAATAGGATTTCTATAAGAATCCACTTTGACTGTTATTTATGTGATTTATGCTCCAGTAACCTTTAAAGAAAGGTTCCTAAAAAAGTGACTGCTCCCATTTTCCTAAAAATATATTAGAAAAAAACATTTGTTAAGCATGATTTTAATTGGAATAAATATTATTGTGGTTTGCTATAAGAATCGTAGAAACATATGGTGTAGGGTATCATATAGTCCAACTTTCTTCCTTTTCTTATGGTGTTTGCTTCAAAAAATTAAAATAGACAAATATTTTGAAAAAAATAGGGATTTAAAAAATGCTTTTCAAGGATGCCATATGGCCAACAATTGTTGTGGATTTATATAAAAATATTTTTTAGGATCTACACATAGGGATTGGTTTCTTTAATATTTTTTTCCAGTTACCACATATAGCCGCAATTTAAAAAAACATTATTTCAAGGTAGACATGATTGTTAAAAAACGTAATATTTTTAGGAATCACGTGAATTTTTCAAAAATATTTTTTAGAAAGCTTAAAATTTTCAAGAACCTCAAATAGGCGAGGACTTTTAAAAATATTTTTTCAAGGACCAAACACAGGGGTGGATTGTATTCCCTAAATATTAAGCGATCATCACCGGCTGCTGTCTTTGCTCATTCCAATTAATAACTGTATATGGTAGAATAATATTTTAGACAGTTTTGAATATATAGAAATCATTTTAAGTCATTATTTCCACAGAAGTTCTTTATAGATTGACTTTCTTCTATAGAAACAACAAATAATTTTGTACAGAATGCATTATGAGACCTATTGTCTATTGCGGATCTTTATATATATATATATATATATATTTAGGATAGGATATCTAAAGGACTTCTAACGGTATAATATATTTAATATTTTTTTAAATATTATATAGAATAATCTCAAATCATATTACCCCCATTGTTGGTCTACGGTCTACGTCATGAATAAGCTTTAACACTCTTAACGCTCAGTCTTACCAAATTACTAGCTGGTCTCTCCAAATATAGATATGAGAATACTAAAGTAAAGCTTGAATTGAACATCGTGATTGAAAAAAAAAAATAAACAAAACAACTATCAGTGAGCGTTCCAAACACACTGTTGACGATATTCCAACACTCACTTAGTATTACTCACCGTATGGACGGAATGTTTAATTTGAGAAAGCCCTTGAAAAGCTTGTATAGATTTACACACACGACTGCATCTAATAATTGGTTTGCGGATGCTTGGCGAGTTTTTGTTTTCTGTTGGTCTCTGGTTCATTCAGTCAACGTTTACCCTGCTCGGTATAACATATTACGACAAAGAAAAAAAAGAACTACAACTTCAGTTAAAGCAAAAGCCAGTGAGTGAGCGAGCGAGCGGATGGTGTTTTGTCATACAAATCAAAACACATCTTGGTATCGTTGGTACGTTTCGGAAGTTCAATTCGATTCTATTCCGTGTTATATTTGTGTATGAATCAATTGTTTCAAAAAGTGCCAAATATGAAAGTTTTTATTCAAACGCGTTTGTTTGTATTGGCCTGTTTTTTCCTGTTACATGCAAATGGCCAATTACAAGCACTACAGGTTGGTTGTTTGGTCTAGTGTGAAGCCATAAGTTAACATTCATAAATATTCCATTGTGTTTTTTGTTATTAATTATTGCTGTGTGACATTTGGCTTATTTGTTTATTTTATGCTTAGGTTTTTCCCGATGATAACGCTCATTTCAATAAAACCTTGGCAAATATTTTACAACCGCGAGTTGTGGGCTCAACCGGTCATACAAATGTTCGCAAATTCATAGTGAGGTAAATATAATCTTGGAAAAATATGTGAATAAATACCAATTTATTTGGCATATGGTGAATTGTGGGAAACCTGTTGTCCAGTGTTAACAGTTCCCATTGATTTTGTGTTTCGTTGGAAATATATTTTAATATTCTAAGAAAAATGTATAACTCATACGCGTATTTAACATATTTTTAAATGCGTTGACAATTTAAAATCGAACAATTTAAGAACAAAGAACGAAAAATCAGGACGTATTAAGAATGCTTCCTTAACACGATATGAATATAAAATATCTTTTGAAAATAATTATTATACTGCACATCTTGATTACCAAGTAGATAGTGGTATTGCAACCAATACCAATATTAAGACCACTCCTTATTATAAAAATTCCCGTAAAAATATTTATGGCAATTGGGTTTTAAGAATAAAAATATTTTGAAACAGAAATACAATTTAATAAACCGGGATATTATATTACATATTCAATGATTTCATTCGCAAAGGAAGCGTAGAACATCTTTCCCACGATATACTAAAAATGTCTGTAAATCTTAACAAACTTTTACTCCCTGAATATTTACAAATAATTTATAGATATTTTATTCACTAATCCTTATGTTATATTAATTTACTACTGAAAACAGAAAATTATTTATATATGGGATGTATCTCTATTTTTATAATGATCTGAACTTATATTTCTAGTGAATTAAATTCTCTTGGATTTACAACCGAAATTGATTCATTCTCACAAAAAGTACCAATATTTGGTAATGTTACATTCTCGAATATTGTGGGTGTTATCAATCCAAAAGCTAATGACTTTTTGGCATTGGCATGTCATTATGATAGCAAATATTTTCCAAATGATCCCAATTTTGTCGGAGCCACAGACTCAGCGGTACCATGTGCAATGATGCTTAACACTGCCAAGACATTGCAGCCATATTTGCAAAAGGATTTTAAAAATCGTCAAGATTTGGGTTTAATGGTATGATTAATATTCGTGATGAATGATTTCTTGAGTAAGATTTTGTTCTATAATTCATTTTCTTTAAGCTTATCTTTTTTGATGGTGAAGAAGCATTCCGCGAATGGACCAATGACGACTCAGTCTATGGTTCAAAACATTTGGCAAAGAAGTATTCCAATACGAAGTTAAAAAGCAATATTAGGCATATTGATCGAATTGTAAGTGAATTTATATTTACATACATACATATGTATATTCATCCCATCATATTTATAATGTCCTATCTTCATTTGCAGGAAGTTTTGGTGCTTTTAGATTTACTTGGTGCTCCTAATCCCAAATTCTATAGCTTTTACGGTAACACAGATGGTCTACACCGTAGTCTTTCTGACATTGAAAGACAATTGGCTAAGCAGAAAATGTTGGAAGGCAATAACTTGATGTTTATGAATAGACCAGCTCAAGGATTTGTTGATGATGATCACCGACCATTTTTACAAGAAAGTAAGCGTACAATTGGGAATATGTAACTTGCAATGATTAACGCATATTTCATATATTTTCAGATGTTCCAATTTTGCATATCATTCCAAATCCATTCCCAAAGGTTTGGCATACACCCAATGACAATGTCGCTAATCTTCACTGGCCAACAATGCACAATTTCAATAAAATATTCCGTACATTTGTCTATGAATATTTGCAACGGCATAGGGAGAGAATTAATTTGAGATATTTCTGAATATGAAATCATTTCCGAACAAAACTTTTGGGTTTAATTCCAATAATATACAAAAATATAAATATATATTGGAAATAATAATATGAATTGAAATTTTCATAAGTATTTATTTTGTTGGAATACTATAGATTTATTAAATAAAAATCCTATAGAAGATTACAGGGGATATGTTCATAATATTACTCTACCACTAATCTACTGCCTCGTCATAAGGGCTCTTTTATTTGCATAGAAGACTCCAACGAAGAAGAATATTCATTGTGGGTTTCTTATATTCAGAAGATTGAAAAGGAACTTTTTAATAAATAAAATAAAAATTGAATGTACAAATAATTTTGTATGTTTTTTATTTGTTAGATTGGGAATTATACAATATTTTTCATAATAATCGTAAAAATATCTCTTTTTCATTTTTATTAATTAAAACTAAGGTATATGCAGAAAAAAAATTATATTTTTTCTTAGCTTAGAAGTGTGTTTATATTTGTAAAGCTGACGATGGGGTTTATCTTCTCTTGCGACCAATGGCAGGCTTTTTGCCGGGCGCTCTTTGGCCTCTACCACCTTTAGGTTTCTTGCCCACAGCTTTGCGACTACCCTTACCCTTTTTACCCTTCTTTCCTTTGCCCTGATCAGGATTTTCTTCGCGTCTGCAATAAAAGTTAATAAATCATGAACTGTTTTTCGTTTGCACTCCTGCATTTTATACTTACTCTAGTCTCTCATCATGTTTCTGTAAGGAAATTGCCTTTTCAATATCAATTTTAGGTTTCTTATTCAAAACACTCTTAATGAGATCCAAATTAGCTTCTTTTTCTGGTGTATCAGTGACATGGGAAGCCTTGCGTTTGGATCCAGGGATGAGTTCCTTTACACCGATACCACGGGCCTCCTTTTCTTTAGGCAGTTTATTTTGGAATTTACCAACAGAGGCTGTTGAAGATTTAGCCACAGTCACTGCTGTCAACAACTGAGTGGAAGTGGCAGCTTCTGCTCCCAAATAACCACTGCGTGGTACTTCCTCTTTTCTGGCTCTTACAATATTCTTCATACGTTGAATTTCATTCTTTGCCACCTTCTCATTGCGCAAATCAATCTTTTTCTGGAACATATCTTCCATGGGGTCTACATTTTGTGGAACTTCCAAAACCCAATCCTTTTGTTTTTCGGCATCTGCACGTCTGTAGCCATATGTAGGAACCCATTTCTGTTAAAGTGTAATACGGATTAGTAAATAAATTGAACATGATTTTGAATTTGTAAACTTACATCCAATGTTTCATCGTACACCTTCTTCTCCTTATTCTTTTTGGTAATACCCTTTTCTTTGGCGAATTTCTCCCATTTAGTCATGGGTTTGGGTCCAGGTATCTTACGCAGGCGAGGTAGTGTCGTTACTGGATCTGGCAATTTGGCAACAATGCATTCATCAACGCGTTCTGTTGGCAATTCCCAAATACTGTTTATTAAAAGTTGAGTATTGTCACGGGTTAAATTCAACAAATAGTTTTCTCTGTTCTCCCTAAAATACCACAAAGTTTAGAAATATGTTCCCTTTTATCAGAAAGCAGTTTTTCAATACATACTTCATTTCATGTTCATCCAAATCATTGGGATCTGTGATCAACATTGTACCCACATCCAGTTCACATTCCAAATGTTTTTCTACGGTAATGGGTTTATATTTTTCCAACTCCCTCTGTTGTTTCTCTAAAACTTCCTTGACAATATCCATTTTGATGGATATTTTATGTTAATTTGTTTCAAAAAGGGAGTATATAAGGACAAAATCCACGAAATCCAATAAATGTTGATGTTTTGATTGCACGTGTTGGTCGCGTAGTTTGAAGCCGCTCACCACATACAACGCCGGCGATTCCATATGTTTATTAAACGAAAACAGAGTTGCGTGTTTTGTCTATTTAGCGCTGTAAAAAAGTGCAGTTAAAAATGCCCTTTTTAATTAAAGGTTTATACAAGACATTTTTAAGTTGAAAAATTATAATTAGTTTTATTATTATATTATATGAACACCACTTGATCTAAAAGCGCATTTACATAAAATAAAAAAATCAAAAAATTTTTTTAAACGACGCATAAAAACACAATATTATGCTACGCAATTATTAAATAAATATGCTATTAAATTACTAAAAATTGCGACTGTTCCCATTACATTCGTGGTAATTATTTGCCTTTTTGTAAACTACCGAACGAAAACAAAGAGGGGTCGGTCTACGAGCGAAACGACCTGAGTCTTACTCCGCCAACGTCTGTCAGCTCAGCCCGTTGTAAAAGCAATAGGACTGCTACAACAACAACAGATTCTGGTTCTTTTGAGTAAAAAGAAGCAGAAATGTTCTGTTCACGTATTGCAAAAATTTACTATTTTTTACAAAGATAAAAATGTTTGTTAATATCGACAAGAATAGTAAAAACTAGTAGATTCTTGCAGTGCGAGAACAGACCAGACGTTTTATTTTAACACAGATCTAAAAAATAAGTATATAATTCATCCCGATAATAACAACTGATGTAGCAGCTAGGGTATTTTGTCAAATCTGTTCAAAATCGATTTTCTACGTTCTAAACGTAAAAGGCGCTGGATGTGCCTTATTATGAAGTATTTGCTTAAACAAATTATTATTGTTTTATAATAAATTGTATATTTAGTTTACATAAATGGATCCTGAATCCTTATTTATAGGCCTTGGTAATCAATTTAGCGATTACCTGTCAAAGTGCGTAATTTGTACTTGAATTTGATGTGCAATGTTACCAACCATGTGAAATATATTATGAAAAAATTTGACAGATGGTCGAGACAGATGGTTTTTATACTTTTCATATTTATACATGGTAGTCTCATGCAGTCATATGTTTCCAATTTTTTTATATAAATTTACTTTTGACAAAAATTAGCTTAAATGAAAATGTCTACCTTTGAAATGTACGCACACCCATGGTATAATCATGGTACAATAATTACAAGGTAGGGCAGCTTGAGGTGAATAACAAAAAAGCAACTATGCACGTGTGGCCTCTTTTGCCAAAAATAAAATAAATATACGCAACAAGTGTTTGTGTTTATTTGACATTTTTTCTACACAAAACTAAAAACGCGAAAAATTAATGAAGGGATATGATTTCTTCCCAAAGTCCAGTAGGGAATACCATAAAATGTTTGTTTCATCAATAACAAAAGTAATAGGGCACAGCTACCAACTGATTACAATTTTTTCTCAAGGTGGCTTGTTCCATCAAATCAAAATACATATTTTGTGTATGTGTGCGTATTGTTTTGAATACAATGGATGTGCCTTAAAAATAAATTTAAATATATTCAAGTTTAATTGAAATGAAAATAAAGTTTTTAACACGTTCGTCTGGAAGTAATTTCATGGTTATGGATGAAACAAACATTTTATGGTATTCCCTACTGGATTTTGGGAAGAAAACATAACCTTTCTTTCATTTTTCGCGTTTTTAGTTTTGTGTTGAAAAAATGTCAAATAAACACAAACACTTGTTGTGTATATTTATTTTATTTTTGGCAGAAGAGGCCACACGTGCATAGTTGTTTTTTTTTTTTTTTTGTTAATATTTTGAAGTTCCCTACATCTAAACCCCATTATTATATGTAGCACCCATATTTATATCTTGATAACAATTTGCACCCTTAGAAAATATACATTTTTAATTTGTTGAAAATATGTCAATCGACATACATAACATTTTAAATAATTTATTTTTTATTTTATATGAAAATTTGATATTATATTTGAATGAACATCTTAAAAAGGTTTGCCATTATCCATTTCTCAAATGAGACTACCTTGAATAATTATGCCATGGTTTTGATAGATCATCTTATTATTGCATCATGGAAAGTATAAGCAGAATAGATCCATTGGGTCATTATTCGTGCTATTTGTCAATGTCAATTCCATAGCGTGGATTATATTTGACAATGCTCTTTTATCGAAAATGCAATAACCAGAATGAAACAATAGCATCAATGCCCAAAATTGATGTACTTTGCACTTCGAAATAATGCGATATAAAAAATGTCTAACACGATCATTGTGCGGAGCCCTTAATGCTTTTAAAGATAGACTAATAATTGCAATAAGCAAGATTATTTTGCAATATATATATAAAGTAATCATGAAAGAAAGCGGTGACAACTATGTAGTATATAAAATTTTGAATTTGCAAAGCGCATTCATTCCAATTATGCACTTAATTTATAAAAGTTAAGAGCAATTGATATCAAAGTATAATCAAATTCATCTACAAATAATAAATACAACCCTGTAGCATCACATTCTGAACACTTCCCAAAATGTTTTGAAGTTTCTTTCAACTGCAACCAACTTCATTCAATAGCTATATTGCTTCCGCCATGATGTTTCCTTTTTCTTTTCTGTCATCGCAGTGCCCGACAAAAGGTGAGAATTTTATTTACTCCAGTGAATTTGTTGAGTTAACACGTGTAAAATTTTGTCGATACCAACGAAATTCAATCAACACACACTTAGTATTTATATAAGACTTAAATACTGAAGCATGCTGCTGCAAAACAACGTTAAATATCATGGTAAATATTACGAAAAAAATTCTACACGTGCTAACTTCAATGAAAATTCTTTAAGGAAAAGTTATTAAATTTCTCCATGATGAATTGAAAGGCAGAAGAGTTCTTGAAGACTATATTCATCACCCAAGACTGACATGGAAATTTAATAAACTTGTCAATTTGCTTTACAAATGTTATTTACGGGGCAGTGAACTAATGTTTCGATTTTCTTTTATTTTTCCAGACTTGAGATGGCCACTTCGTCGCACCTTAACTGGTTGATCGTCCGCAACAACAATGCCTTTTTGTTGAAGAAGCGTGATATCAAGAAACCATTCAGCACTGTAAGTATTTCATATTTTTGAATCTTAATCCGAAGGCAGATGCTGACAATTTTCTTGAACGAATATAGAGCTTTGATTACTTTCATGAACATTTTCGGTGTCTAGCTTTGGTGATATGGGAAATGTTGCTATTGTTTGTCAATGATGCTTTTTTGAATTCACAATGATAGTTGATTTACCACGTGATAATAATCCTTCTCAAACCTGAGCACAGATGCAACATTTCCAATATATTCCATGTACTAATGCTAAAGTTTAGTTGATATATTAAATTGGTTTCTTTTTAAATATTGTAGGAGCCCAACAACTTGACCAATGTCAGTTCTTACCGCTACAGTGGCATCGTGCACAAGAAGACCCTCGGTGTTGTACCAGCCGCCGACAAAAAGGGCTTCACCGTCGTCATGAAGAAGGGCAAATACGCCCAACGTCCCGCCAAGAGCACTGTCAAAGTGACCATGAAGGCTGGTCCCAGAAGGTCTTTGAAGAAGTTGAGAAATCTTTTGACCGACAACAAATACCGCAAGGACTTGACTCAAGTAAGTTTATGAACAAAATGTTATTTTACAAATTTAATCAGTCATGATGATTTACTACATTTACCAACCAAGATCGCTGAAGAGTTTTGATTAAATCTTTCTAACTGACAGACTCCAAAACGATCAATGGTATTGGTGTTGCTTTGTAAAACAAATGTACTAATTGAATTTTTTCTGTTCAATTTTAGGCTGCTTTGCGTCGTGCCTCCGCTGTGATGCGCTCCCAAAAGGCTCCTGAAGTCAAGAAAGCCAAGAAACCAGAATAAATGTTAGGCTTTTAAAGAACCTTTTTTAAAATATAGACAACCTAAAATCCAACAACAAATTTCATGATTTTGTGTATTTATTTAATGCATGTGGGGTTAATTTAATTTGGTATAATCTGTATGTGCATTGGGATATTCATACAATGGATCAGGGGAGGTAGTCTAATCGTACTTGAGCATTACAATACGATGTCTTCATGTGCTTGTGCGGATGTAAACGACCATCATGTAAAAGTCATTTACAATCAGTCAATCCGATCATGAGTATCCGTAAAGAATTCAATCCCCTACAAGGAAAAAAAGTTTTTTACTCAAATTTTCGATTTCTAAAGCTTTTTATTGAACAAAATCAAAAAAGAAATTGGTTTTTCGGTATATATTTTTTATAAAAATCGGATATGTTTGCGCTGAGTTATTTGCATTGGAATTCAACGATGTTCCGAAATATACATGCTGTTCTGGACAAAAATCGGTCTTATAGAAATGGAAAGAACATATTTGCTTCATACAGCAACTGTGTACGTATGTAAAGTTAAATTACGTTATATTTGTGCATAAAAACAATCACAACATATCAAATTAAAAATCGGACTATAATTTTCACTACAAACCAGCAGAAATGAAAGAAAGAAAATTTGCCGTTTTTTAAAAATCCATTTTTATGTGGTTTTTCATTTTCAGGCAATAGGTGCCCAGCACCAAACAGTAACTATATTTCGGAAGATCGTTCGATTCAAATGCAAATAACTCAGCGACTACTTAGCCGATCGTCATAAATTTTGCACAAATGATTCGAGGGGAATCTAAAGTGTTATTCCATATTGACAATACATATATAAACATGTATACATATATAAAAATTTTACACGAAATTTTGCATAGCGTATTGAATTCATATAATGTTCTGTTCTCGATTGGCCATGTTTTTAAATTCTCATAATTATTGCTAATTATGGTATATACACTCCTCCGTCTGTCTGTGTGACTCTGACTGACTAGTGTACGAATACCTTTCGAAGGGAGTAACCGATTTCATCCAAACTTTGCACATCATAATATTCTTGTCCAAATTTAGTCCATGTTTGAAAAGTGAGGACGGAAAATCCAATTTGATACAAACTTTTATGTTTATCTCTCCTTCCATTATGGTACCTCCCCCACAAAGGGTCAGCATTTTACAAACCTGTAAATATAATCTAATGGGTTACAGATATAATTCATTGTTAGCACATGGTAATATTTTGCCAAACCTACTTTAAATCCGAAGACAGAGTGTATAGTACAACCTCTTCTAGAAACTCTCCATAGATGGTCAACTCCTTTTGAATGATATATTTTTCGATGTGCCACATTATATTATCATTAATTTTGTAAAGTTGTGTGTACTATCAAAGCATAACAACGAAAACTGTAGATGTCAGTCGTTGATGGTTTGAGTATAAACTAATGAGTTACTTGCCGACGTAACGTTTTCAAGTCATGCATATGCACCACGTTCCCATTAGTTTTCAGCCAAATCCCATAGATGTCGATATGTTCACATTGTATAGCGATTATGAATTCTATCTATCTTCTTTTAGTTGAGGATTTATTCGTTGCACCAACCATCAAAGTAACGAACCCTGCATTACAATTGTGAATAACAATCAATAGATGGCGGCACCGTTAACTGTTATATTGTTATAAAACTGTTATCAAAGACATAAAAGTATAAAGATAGGACAATTGATACGTAAGCAATTTCCAACAGATGGCTTTTCCTCTGTTGTTACGATATCATAACAACAGAGAGAACAATATTAAACGTTTTTAATGCTATATCTTAAGCTTATAAAATGAAAATACATATTTTGAGTGCAGGCCTCTAATTTTATTTACATTTTATTCACACATTTTCGCGTATTGGCGTTTTTATTCTTAACATGCCTCTGTTAACCTTGATTCCCCCTGGATATTTTTTCATAAACTATTTTGCCAAAATGCATTTTGTCGAGTCTTTACGGTTTCTATGTCTTTGCTGTTATACTATTAATTTTCATCAAAATTTTTTCCAAAATTAATGATTTTTGATTATTTTTTTGATTTTGTTGATTGATTTCCGCGAAAATTGGATGGAAAAACAAAAAACAATGTTTTTTGTTCACGGATAAAAAAATTTTCCGCGAAATTTTATTATGGAATTTTTGGGAAAAGCTAACTTAGCCAGACCTTCAGAGTGTAATAAAAAATTATTCTCTCACTTGAGGAATGACTGAAACAGAAAAAAACATATTCTTGATTTTTTTCATTTTTGAAATTATTATGTTCGTCCTTCCTTGTTAAGCTAAATTTTTTGTTGATGCCCCTGGGAAATTCAGAGTTGTTACGATATCATAACAACAGAGCGAACAATATTAAACGTTTTAATCTCTTTATAGCAAAATAAAAATATATATTTTATGTGCGGATCTCTGATTTTATTTACATTTTAAACAAACATTTTCGGGTATTAGCGTTTTTATTCTTAACATGCCCCTGGATATTTCTTCATAAACTATTTTGTCAAAATGCATAAAGACTCGACAAACAGACAAAAATATTAGGTCATCCCATAAGTTTCTCCCCCTTTCATACCAATTTGCATATCCCATCCCAAGAAATCGCTACGAATTACACAATTACTTTATATAAAATGAGTCTGTCAACAGGTTACCGCGGGTGTAATCATTGTAGATTCACATATGGTATAAAATAAAATAATTTAAAAATAATTTTTTATACCAAATAAGTAATTGTTTGTGGTAGCAATTACTTATTTGGTATAAAAAATTAAAGAAATCATGCCAATCTTTTTGATACCTGCAATTATTTAGCATTTAACACTCACCAAGCGATGAGGCTGTTAAATGTTAAGGCCGTTTTTACATGCGACGAATAATGGAGTCCTACCCAAAAAAACAATAAACATACTTGGTCTGTTCTCGTACTGCAAGAATATACTAATTTTTTTCGATTAATACAGAAATTTTTTTTTGTCGTAGTGACAATTTTGTACATTCCTGTATGTTCGAAATAGATATATGGTCTGTTCCCGTACTGCAAGAATCTACTAGACTTTACTATATTCTTCGATATCATAAAGGAAAATTCGTTATCGTAGTAAAAAGTAGTAGATTCTTGCAGTAGTTGAACAGACTAATAGTTTTTCTATAAATAACAATTGTTTTCGATTTTTTATTTAAAACTTAAAGTACAAAAACCATTTCTTTTTTGAAGATAATAACATTACATTCTATTTGGTAAATATTGTCTTAGTATCACACGTTTTAAATACACGTACTGCGAGATGAAGCAAATTATTGTCCTCCATACCATCGGTCTGCCCTTTATCTTCAGTCTTTTCTTATGATATTCTCAATACTAAAGGCAGTTGGACTTTTATTAGCGGTGGTACTTTGCAGCTCTGGTGTGGGAGATTTTTCTTTTTTGATTTTCATCAGCGAACAGGTGGGTGTAAATGCACTCGGTGACTGAGTTAACATACGATCACTTGAACAGCTACTGTTCGATAGGGCATCACCAGAGAAATCTAATGACTCGACATCTGCATAAGAATTCGTTGAACCTGTGTGTGATGCAGGGGCGGCGGGAACATGACATGTTTGATTTGAAGTGGAGGCATAATTCGGATTCGAATATTCCTCTGTCAGTTGTTGGGATGAACAATTGTTGGAGGACGAAGAATTGGCCAGAGATGGATTACCGAAAAGTATATTAAATGGTGCAATTGAGGCTAAATATTGTCGGTGCATTTCGGTAATACGATCTGTGTAGTTCAAACATAAATTCGATGAATTCATATTGAACATAGATTCTATACTGCCAGAGGATTGATCAGCTAAATTGCCTTGTTGTTCGGAGGCCTGAAAAGAAATTGCAATGGAAAATGATGTTCGTTATTAATTTAAATATAAAATTATAGTAAATATCGGTAGATATAAAAGTTGTAATCACATTAAAAAAAGCAAATTGTCGCTAAGACTAGGTTTACATTGAAAGTAAATTAATATTTGATACAAATATAATTTTTTCCTAAAGAAATACACATTTTGGCACTTCTACTTCAGCAATTCTGCATATTTCATAATTGAAATTTTATGTGATTAATTTATTATTTTCTCACCTTAAAGCTTTCACCTAATAATGTCCCAGTTTTCAAACACTGTCTTTGTCTTCTCGTTCTCCTTCTGCGATAGTTGCCCTGTTCGAACATATCACCAGCCGAAGCATCCAACATCCAATAGCTACCTTTGCCGGCGCTATCGTTATCATCGATCGTATTCTTATCGCGTGCAACTTTAACGAAACAATCATTCAGTGATAGATTGTGGCGAATAGAATTCTGCCAGCCTTGTTTATTTTCACGATAATAGGGAAATCTGAAAAGAAACCGTGTTTTTTTAAATTAGAATTCAGTGGAATTTTTCAAAGGTGTTTTTAAGACATTATGAGTATAAATCCCATCCCATACTAATAAAAGACTCTTGAACCGCTGGTTCAAAATGGTTGACTTACTTATTCATTATATCAGAAAATGTCAAAGGTCAAAATACTTATAGAATGGATTTGGAGCGATATTCTACAATAGGGTAGAAAAATGGGATTGTGATCAACAAATTAAGTACTACCCTTATCGATTATTTCCATTATGATATGAACTATCATAAAACGTTCCTACCGTGCAATTTTCATCACAAAATAAAATAAATAACTGAAAATATATAACAAAATCTGCAGCCGAAGTTAGAGATAATGTTGCGAAAAAGTAGTTATATATAAAATTTTTTTTAAAGGCATTTTCTGAAAATTCTAAATTAGGTTTAAAAAATATTTGTATCTTTTTATCCTTTTCAAACCCAAATAAATTAATAATTTCTGTGATGTATTTCGGTTCTCCGTTCGTTTTTATTTTGTATGCCCTAAAGGGATAACAAATAAAAATTAATTATCACACTTATACATATTTTGCAAATACATATATATTTGAAGGTTTAAAATAGAAGAAAAATAATTTACAAACATTTTTTGTTGACGTTTTTTTGTGATTAAAGAAAAGTCCGTATCCTTCATGGCAGGCATGGTAACTCCACACTGGACATCGGAAGAGTATTGGCATCGCAAAAAAATTTAAAAAAATGGCGGAGCTTTGTTTGAAAATTTTTTTTTGAAAATTGCTTATTATTGACCACGATCTAAGTAAAAAAGACGATTTTCACCGATTGGATTTATCCTAGTTTATACGATAACTATATGCACACAGAGAAACGTGTCAAAATTTGGAACCGATTGGATTAGTAATTTTTGAGCTCTCGTGCCCGACATTCATAAAAACATGTAATAAACGCGTTTGAAGTTTGAGATCACTCTTGCCGTCAGATTTAAGATTTATTGTGTTAGCATCATACACTTAAAGAGTTGTTGAGATTTTCACTCAAAATTTTATAGGGACATTCTTGAATTAATGTACGTTCGAATTCAAGATACAATTTTGTTGAACCCAAGAATAGGCGGAGGGGGTTGGTCCCTTTATGCTGGGTTGAAAGGTTTATACATCATAAAGGCACATATATAGAAGGAGACAACAAAAACCACCTAAGTGGTAAAATAAATACATTTCGGCTATTCGGATTTCTTGTCCATAGAAAATCTGAAATTCAAGGCATTTACACATTTTGAAAATATGGTGGAATATTCCAAATATTTTAAATTTATAAAGATTACAAAAACATTGAAAAACGCGGACAATATCTCACAAAATTCATCATTAGGAGGGTACTGTTATATGGGGGCTATACCAAATAGTAGAGCAAAATTGATAATTATTGGTAAGAATATGTGCTACACAAGGTGAACTTAAAATACCAAATTACAGCTAATTTGGTTGAAAGTGAGGCTAACATATTTAAATTTTATTATCAAAGCATGCTAATGTAAATAAAAGTAAACTTCAATTTTTTATTAAATTTTTAAAGACCATTTTTATATTATCGCCAATAACTCCTTAGTGAATAGTCGCAAAATTCTGGACAGATAACATATAAAGGCGTCGATTGGTGATATAACCTTTAACATATCCTCTGGCACTGCATGGCGTCGGATATACCCATGCCATAATACAAATTATATGCCAGCTAATATTACTTCCCAATAATTCAGGCATATTTAAATGCGATTGGTTTTGTTGAAATTCAATGAAATATTGAAAAGATTGTGTCACACAGTCCGAATCTTATTAACATTAATTTTTGAAATATTGCTATTAACAATTTTCTATACAATACCAATCATCAAATCAATCGATAAGGGTTGCTATCGAGGAAAATGGATTTACCCGTTTCAAAAGTCGAAGAAGATTCACTATCGATCAATATTGAAGATCAAGGTGTTATTTCATTCAATAAAAAATGACACAAATGTTTGAAATTCCAGTGTTATTGCATTTGGAACTTATAACCTGAGTGCAAAATAAATGTATATGCCGATTCTACGTTTTCGTGAGGAAAATTTGATCTGTCTATGATTCGATAGCATCTTAAACTATTAAATGTAAATTAATTCGATATTTATTTCAAAACTATTTTATAAACATTAAGACAAACAGGGTTTGTGTGTTAAAACGAACGCTTAACCATAAATCGAAACAGCACGTAGTAAGGAATTGATAACCGCTGGGACTGTTATTTGAGGTTTAGAATCCATTTCCTTTTATGTGTAAACACGACATTTTCATAAAAAAATTAATTAATATTTTTATAAAAATAAATCTTTTACGTATATTCGAAGGGATATTCAGCAAGAATTAATTCCGATTCTAAAGACTATGTTATTTTTTTCCTTTTACACTTACTTGTCCATTATAAATTTATATATTCCACTTAATGTCAGGCGTTGATTTGGTGCACTACTTATGGCCATGGCTATCAAAGCAATATACGAAAATGGTGGCTTTTCGGGACGATGGGTATTTTGCAGAAATGACCATGGATATGACCACATATTATTGGGCATTGCCATTAATGGATGCATATTCGAGTAGAAATATGGATTTGGTGAAACCGACGGTGATGAGTTGTTATCCGTTAACATTGTTGGCAATGGAGGACCATGCGTCAAACCGGCATCCATATAATCGTTACGTGGTAATAGTGGACCAGCACTTGCCGTTAAAGGTGATAGATTTAGGTAATATGGTGAGGGTAACATTGTGTTGGGTAATTTTTAACTGTATATCCTTATATTTTTTCAAAACACTTTTCACATGAATTTTTTGGTTGAATATATATTTAAAAATATTTTGTATTTTCGTTTTTAATTATTTTATAATATTTTAAATTTCAATTAATTTTTTTTTCAATATTTGTTATTTAATTTCCACTTTTGTTTTGTCACAAATTATTGAATTTGTAAATTTTCAAAATTTAAATTTCAATTATATTCCCGCAAGTTTTTCCCGATTCGTTGTCTTTGCTCGCCCACGGCTAAATGAAAAACCATTTCAAATATCCGTTTTCCTTTCCGATAGTCAAATGCTTGTTTCGCTCCGTGCATTATGTGGGTGTGAGAGTGTGTGTGTATGGGTTGAATTAACACACATGAGCATAAGATGCGCTCCTCGGAGATCATCTCCATCCCATTCTGCTCATATGTAAACAAAAATCACACTTTTATGCCTTGTTTTTGTTGTTGCAGTGGGTTGATCTTATTCTTTTGTGTGGCTGTTGCTCTACATTTTCATTCTCCCCCCACCATGTCGTCATACTAAGGACAGTCACATGGCCAACCAACCGATGATGATGTGTGTTGCTCTCCTTCGTTCTGTTGCTCTTTTGAGATGACAAAAAGTCGTAAAATGTATCGTTGTTTTTTTTTCGCCTCATATCCAAGGGAAAATGTGAAATGTTGTTGTTGATACGCCAAACAAAAACATTGCGACGATCGGTTCGTTCACATATTGATTTTGTTGTAACGGCGAACATTGATGCGGCAACAAACATCATCGGCCCAGCCAAGGCACTTAGAGAAGGAGGCACGAGTGTTTTGGTCTTGGAATCGTTTACACAAATAGGGACATGAAACCACAAAGAATTAAACAAAAACAAGACAAAAAGATGGAATCAAAAGGAAAACAAGAAATTATCATAAAAAAGGGTTCTGGCAAAATAATCATAAAAAAGTCGTAAAATCATTTTTTTTTTGTTTTAGAAATGTTGTTTATAATCAAAACTTTCACTTCTCAAGGAGGAGTACAAGAAAATAAATTCTCTATGTTAGAGATGACGATCCTAGAAATGGAAAATTCTATTTCAAAGGGAATAAGATTAGATGTATGAAAAAAAAACAAGTAAAACATAAGACCACCATCGCATTTTGAAATGCGAGCATGTAGTAACTATATTTAAAATGTGGGTCCACCATGTAGAAAAATATTGACGCACAATTTGTTAAAAAAATCCTACAAATGCGACAGGTCAACATTTTTAGTGGTCTTATGTTTGTACCTTTTGTGCAAGGTAATTTACATTAAAAATGTCCTGTTCAAAAAAACGAAAATAATGGATCAATGTCGAATTTGGCTGTCGAATACGAATTTTAACAACATATTGCAAACATGTTGTATTCCTATCACTTTTAGATATTGGGACTCTTTTTATGCCCTACACAACTATGTTGTGAGTTTGTGAAAACCGCGAAATATTGGACCAAGACCAAAACTTTAGTATACCAAAAGGTAACTTTCATAGAAGTCCTGCTCTCTATTTGCAAATAAAAACTCTAAACTCCAATTTTTTATCATTAAAGAAATTTTGCAATGCAAGAAAAATACGGTAATCTCTTGGTGCAAAGTGCGGACTGTATGGAGGATGCATTGAAACTTCCCAACCAAGCTACAGAAGTTTCTGGCGATGTGTGTGGTCTAGCGTTGTCCTGTTGGCCAATTCTGGCCGTTTCTGGTCAATTGCTATCTTCAAACGACCCAGTTGTTGACAGTAGAGAATGAGCGTTTGGTCATATGGAAGCAACTCATAATAAATAATCCCCTTCCAGTCCCATCAAATGCATATCAGAACCTTCCTGGCCGTTAGTCCTGATTTGGCCACGGTTTGAGGTGCTTCACCGCTCTTTGGCCACGACCGTTTTCGCACAGGGTTATCGTAAGTGATCCATTTCTCATCTCCAATCACCACCCGTTGAAAAAATGGGTCTATCTCATTCCGTTTGGCCAAGGCTTCGCAGATGGAAATTCTATTCTATTTTTCTCTTATTTGAGAGCTTCTTTTTGAATCCAGCTTTGTGTAAATGGCATAAAACAGTTTTATGGTCGATTTTTAGCTCCTGGGCGATGTTACAACTGCTAACATGCCGGTCAACTTCAATCATTTCTCCGATTTTATCGACATTTTCGACGATCGGCCTAATTTATTTCTTTTTCTCCAACGTAATAATTTTCTATACGCGAACCTATGAATGTAACTTTTTTTTTATAAAAATACCCTATTCATAACCACATCTAGTTCTCCGGGAATTTACGAAGACTTACACCAAGTTCTCCAATAAATTTGTGAATTTCACATCTACATCGAAAACATCTCCCACTTGGCATCCCTATTCTCCTTGATCAATGAATTTCTTCGTTTGCTCTATGAATATGGAAGCGTATGTGTGTGTGTGTGAGTGCTTTTTATCTTCTTTTCTGTTTAATTTCTATTAACCACATTAATCATTGTTGCAATTGCATGCGGTCAAATCGATAAAAACCCTATAAAAATTATACTCTCTTCATGTTGCCCTGCTGTTCTTTTGTGCTGCACAGTTGTTGTTTTAGTTGCTCCTTAGACTTTCGGCAACTTTGATATTCGCCGAGGTTTGTTTGTTCCAAAGATCGTTGGTGGTATGAACACCTCGTTTGTTGTAAATATTTTGAAATTATAAAATACTGTCTGACTATAAACAAATATAAAAGAATAATTGGCTTTCTTGTTGGTGTTGTTGCTGCTGTTTGGTAAAGGTGTTGTTGGTTGTTAGTGTGTTTTGATTGCGGTTGATTTAGGGGAATCGACATCAAAGAGAAAGAATTGTTTGTTTAATTCTTGGTTAATATTAAAGAGAAATTTGGAAATAAATTCAAAGGGGTTTTTGTCATATGGACACTGTTGAATTTTGTGGTAATAAAAATGAATCACAAAATGTGGACAGATCGAAAGAAAATTATTGAATTAAGACTATGAAAATATTTATAAAATGCCATTCGCTTTCTGAAACAATGTTTTAAAGAGAGAGAAAGAAAATAAAAAACAAATAAAAAGAGGACAACCTTGTTAAACCTTAGCTAGGAGATAAAAGTAATTCTTCAAAAATTGGATTGACCAACTCTAAACAATTGAAGTTTAAGGCCAAATTAAAAGAAAATCAGCCTGTGCTTTTATTTATGGACTTTTTTCGCCAGAAGGCATCCTATCCACGTAGACCTAGGATTTGCAGTTTGACAAAATTTTACTGTAAATTGGATAGAGTAATGGTCTAGGCTAAACGGCTTTTACATTACAACTTTTTACCGGGTTAACCTACTTTATGAGGATTTATATATATGAAAAAATTGTAATTCCTGGAAAAAAACTCATACTTTACTGTAAATTGAAAAGGACTATTACATAAAAGTCATGTGTAAAACTTTTGCAAAGGCAATGACAAAAATTCCATATACAGATCAATATTGGAAAATTTAGCTTTTTCAGACATTTATAAATAAATTGTAAATATTTTAGAATCATAATGATTTATTCCTCATAAATTTTCTGATTTTTTATATAATGTCTATGAGAACACTTTTTTCAAATATCCATGTTTAATTTACAATTGTTTATTCATAAATGTCACACATAAATATTTGTTAATTTATTTTATTTTGTTTCTTTAAAATAAACCTTGAACAATTTTGGCAACCAACGAAACAAAATCGCTAGCAAATAAAAAATATTAATGCCCAACAACAAATTGACGCCTTAATATATTTATTATTAAACAAAATTATAAACAAATTAGAATTTAAATATTTCTATTTTAATTTAACAAAATACATTTATGAGCAAAAAAAAATAAAATAAAAAAGCGAAAAAAATTCAAAACAAGGTATTAAAATTATATATTTTGTTGTTTCTTCTGCGGATGATGCCCGCAGACAACCGCTGAGATTCAAATCCAATTTCAAATAAATAAAATCAGACAAAAATATTTTAATGAATTTTTTAAATTTTCCCAAACAAAAGCACACAAAAATGATGTACCCATCAACATTGGAATATTTCCTTGCTAAATTTAAAGAAAACACAAATAAATTTTCCTAGAGATTAAGTTTTCTTTTTTTCAAAAGAGTATTTATTGTTATTCTCAAACAATATTCGACTGGCAATGTTCTGGTAATAGTGGGCGTAAAATACGATCCATTTGTAAGATCGCCAAGAGAAACGGAACAATAAAATCGTCTCAATGTGATGTGTGTAAATTTAAAAAATTATTGATATTTTCTCTTGGTTGTATATTTTTATCGGGAATTTTTTTGTAAATAAATAAACTCACCGAGTGTAATATAAATATTTTCAATAATATTGTAGAATACATGCATAATCAATAGATGTGTGTGTGTGTATGTTCACATATAAATTTATATTTATGAAATTTGAAATGTAATTTCAACGACCCCTCCTCCCTATTTTTATATTTATAAGAAGAAAAAAAGTAATGCTAACTATGAGTTTATGAAAACTATGCGTTTTTTTTCCCACAAAAAGTTTTTTGAAAAAAATTAGGTTGGGGAAAAAGAAATCCACTATTTTGTCGGCAGATGACTGTTCCAATAGATTTCTTGTAAAGTATCGATCAAACCATTTCAGATTTATGTCCATTGGAAGGGTGAAATTTCGCAGTAAAGAATTATTTTGCTGTTTTTTGTTTGGTGCATTCAGTTGTGAGTTACAGGGTGTTAAAAATGGAAGTGAACAAAAAAAAATACATTCAATTTTGAAAAACGTTTTTCCTTGACAAATTCTCAATATGACAAATTGGGTCAAAATTAGTAATTTTTAGTGTGGATATGTGGTGGTACGGTTATGAACACCCCCTCTGGCTACGTCGTTGGTACCTATATATGGGGGTTACCCTAAAACAAAGGTCAATATTAATAATTTTTGGTACGGATATGTGGTATT